CACATTACTAGAACTTTCCACAGGGAAACTGAAGCATACCTTTCTTTCCTCTGAGATTTTGCAAGGGAGGGACGCCCTACTTTTAAGTATCTTGAGTCTATTTTCCATTTAAAAACGAATCCAGTTCATCTTCTAGAGGGGACGAGAGAATGAAATAGCCTGTAAACAAGTCTTTTTGGTGGAGTTCAGTGAGACTGATTAAAATGAACACCAGGTTCCTAATGAGTTTAAGAATTTGCTTTGGAGAAATTGACCTATCCTTTACATTAAAAGAGTAGAGCGTATAACTTGCTCATTTACATATAGTAGATCAGCTCTGTTGTTATTAGTTGCACAGAGTCGATTCAATGAAACTAGAATAAAATGTTCAAAAATCTGTTTTGGTTACTCAATTCAGAGCTTTTGTAATAAATGTTTTTTCCATGATGACGAATTGCGTAGACACTCACAGCCACTGAGTCTGCTCCCACCCTCGGAGGCAGACAGGTCTGTCTGTGTAGGTGCCCAGAATGGGAACTCTGTACAGGATTGGAAAGCCTCATCTTTCTCCTATGGAGCGGCTGGTAGTTTCAAACTGCAGACCTTGCAACCTAATGTGTAGCTTATCACACCACCGGGTCTCCTTATATATTTTTGCTATACAAATAGTTAAATAATATTTAGATATAGTTTAAGCCATCTTCTTAAGATTTGACAATTAATGTTCAACATATTTATGAGGAAAAGGGCATTTTTACACTTTATTATGTGAAAAGGAAGGAAATCATTATACATAACATGCCCATGTGCAGACACAATATCATACTAATACCAAATAATGCTAATGGTCAATTTTATTAAGTGTCTGGTAGAGTGCTAAGCATTTATATGTATTTTTTATTAATCTTGAGATATTAATGCTTTTAATATCCCCATTTTATAAATGAAAGAATGAAGTCATGGGTTGAAGATAAAGGTAAGTAAAAATACATAACTACAAAATCATAGAACCGTTTATTAAATAAAACTATAAAGATTTGAAGTTGTTGTTTCTTGAAATAGTCTCCATGTAGGCTAAACACGTCTGCAGGTGGTATTGCCGTCTCTCTTACCTATCCCTGGACAATTCTACACTTGTCTATGCACACTGCAGGGACTGGGAACTGTTAAGTGTGGCTCTTCTAGGGAAAGGCTCTAACTCCCACTACACAATCTTTCCCTGCATGGAACTGGTAAGCAGGTGGGGGAAGTTACTGATAGGATTCACCTGTGAGTAATTTCAGACAGGATTCCTTGGAGTCTATGCTGCTTCTTCTAAAATGAGCCCTCTGAGAAGCAGGAGGAAGAATCTCATCACCAGCAAGAGCTAGCGATGTGCACCTGTGAAGCACGTTCTTTAATGTGTCCAAGAGCAAAGATGTCACTTTAAGGACTTAGGTACACTTTCCCCAAACTAGGGTATTTTTAATCACTTTGTATGCATGTGACAGTTAGGTGAATAAGGAAGGCCAGGGAAGAGCTGATGCATTTGGATTATGTTATTGGTGAAAAAATATTGAAAGTACCATTGAAAATACCATTGTTCTCCTGGCAAGGAGAACAAACAGGTCTGTCACAGAAGAAGTACAACAACCGGAATGCTCCTTAGAAGTGAGGGTGGTGAGACTTAATCTCACATCATTAGGAGATGTTATCAGAATAAACGAGTCCCTGGCAGAGGACATCATGCCTGGCAAAATGGGGAGAGGAAGACCGTCAATGAGCTGGATTGATACAGTGACTGCAAAATGTGTCAAAATAGTAACATTGTTGAGGATGGTGCAGAACTGGGAGTGTTTTGTTCTATGACAGATAGAGTCTCTATGAGTTAGAGTGACTGGTAGCACGTGATAGCATAACATATATAACCCTACTAAGTGAAGGTTGATCAGCACCAGGGCTCTTTGCTTTACATCGTCTTGCACGGGTTGAAGAAGAGTCAGCTCATCTACCCAGCTCAAGTTATAAACACTAGACCTTAAATAAGGGGAGGCAGACTCTTCTGTTCACATTCTTAAAAATAATATTCAATGTTTAACTTGAATAGCAACTTCCAGATCCAATTAAAATATGGTCCTTGATATAATTCCAAATTTGGAGTTAAATAGAAAAGTAGAAACTATCCAATCATTGAACCTCTTTTGATCAGTTTGAACACATCTTTTGAAATGATTACGATTGACTGTGATATCAGCACTGTGATATCAGCACGGGTGATATCACATATTTCATGTTCACAGTGGAGGGAGACGGTAATTATAAATGAATTAAATTGATGGGGAAAAAATAACACACCACAGAAGCGAGGCCAGCAGACTCATTGGCTCCTTGAAGAGAGCACGCAATGTGAATAGAACTCTTA